CAAGTTCAGTTCAATTTTGAACTGAACTTGAACTTGGCCAAAAGTTCAGTTCAGTTCAGTTCATAGAAACACTAGTTCAGACCTCTGTCAGTATAAAGACATAAAATTGGTGGTATTATTTAATATTCATATTGATTATTTAATATTTTTAAAAACTCAGTTGAATGTCTCATAGCAGTACTTTGCTCAAAAATTGTATCTTTGTATAATACAAATACTTGTCTTTCATAAAATGATCCAGAAATACTATTAGGAATAGTATAAAAAAATAACAGATGGTGTTAAGGATAGTTTTGAAAAATCATAATCAGCAGCAGCTAAAAATACTTTCTTGAGCAACTATAGAGTGTCGATTTTGTATATCTGTAGAAACTGCAATATCTTCTCTGATAGGAATTTTGTGTTTATCATCAGCAGAAATTAAACAAACCCACTGACAGTACTAGATACAAAATTTTCTAAGATATCGGAAAAATGCAGCACAATAATGGGCATTCTTACTATGTTTTTAAAGCATTTGGCTTTGAACTTTAAACTTTACATTAAACTGACTAGTATAATGCATCACTCGTATTGTAGTAGCATTTGTAGAACAAAACTGAAGATGAATCCATTCATCTGATGGGATATTAATTTCAGAAGGTAAGGGATTACTATAAAGATTTTTTAATCTTTCTACTATAACTTCACAAAGATCGCAAATTGATATAGCCAGGGAAATATGTAAAATAGTTCTATGCCGTTAGTCATTTACTGCAAGTAAATTCTATATTAAAGTAGTTTAAGGTAAGAGATTTATAGTATAAAATATAAGGTATATAAGTATTCTGGTGTGGGTGGGTAATGTGGCAGATAACATGTTATTAAAGTTAAAACTTCATTCAATTCTAGTTAACTAATTGTAAAATAATTGTACAAAACTCTTTAATTTAGAGTGAGCAATATAGCAAAAAATTGTATTATTTTAAAATAAAAATTTGTAATTATAATATTTACTGAAATTTCACTATTGGCGAATTTTAATCAATTTTAACTCTACCAAATTACTTTCTTCTATCTTATATAATACACAAAATACAAACTTACTTGCTCATTAAAATAAACTTCTGTTTCATCCCAAAACGTATTAAATTTTGTTTCTTTAAATCTATTATTTGTTCACAAATCAAATATAATGTTAGGATCTGCTAACGTTAACATTAATCATAATCTTTCTTCTATATCACAACTAATTGCATTGGGCATTATGGCAGCATTTCTAGTAAGATCAAAATGTAGTATTCGCAATATTGCTAGTATAACTTTTTGAATATAAGAATATTACAGTATAAGATAAAAGATATTAAAAATATATATATATATTTATAAATTAATTTTAAATATCAGTTGTATTATTTATCTTATTAAGTACATTCTTTTATATTTGCTATATAAAATAACAAGGCAATTCTTCATAAATTCTAGCTAACATATGTGCTTTTAACATATCATCTTGTTTACTATTTAATATATCAGTTTCTGGTATTCTCCAAACATAATTTATTGTTTCTAAATAATTGCCCTGATAATATCTATAAAAAAGAAACCAAATAACAAATTAAATATAAGAAGGATTAAATAAAATAGTTAATTTGAAAATACTTGGTTGATATTCTGAATTTAGCAAAAAATATACTTCTTTTCAAAATTCTAAAGAGCTAAAATTCCAAGAAAAATATCTAAATACTAATCTATATATACCAATTAGAAATGTAAGTTGCAAATCTTTCATAAACTGATATCAGTCAATAGTATTATTTGGAAGATATTTTTAAATATAAACAGGTTTATAAAATGCTTTTTCAAATAAAAAATCATTTAGTTGAATATAATCATCCTTAAGTTTATTATAATCACAAGCACTAACTTGATATATAGTATTATTATTTTCAGAACTACAAGCACTTTTATTGCTATGATGAAGTTTATTTATACTAACAGCCATTGTAACTAAATAATCTGAATATTTTTTTAAAATTTCAATTAAGGAAATAGTTACAGATATTACTTGATTCCATATATTATTACTAGCCTATGGTTGGCTAATAGAAATTTCAAGAGAATTTGAAAAACATTCAAGTTTTTGTTGAGACAGTGAGTTCTTTTTATAGTGACTAGTATAATAAAATTTATTATATGATTTACCATCCTGATATGTTTTTAATTGTTCAAAAAAAGATGGTAGATGATATAAATGTGTTTTTAATATTGTAAGATATGGGTTAATATACCAAAGAGTATTTGTAAGATGGTTTACAAATATTTTTTCTATTGTTTCATTCAAACCATTTGTCTAACCAACTTTTTAAGCTTTGAAAAGCTCAATAATTTTATTATAAAGTCAGTGATAATTATTATGCTCAGTGCAATATCAGAAAAGTAAAGGCTGTTTTGAATTTGCTATTAAAATGCTAAAAGTATTTAATTTATTTTGAGTAAAATCTGGAGTATCTAAATCTGTCTTAGAAACAAGACAAAATTTAATCTGTATAAAATCTAAAATTTCTAACATTTTTAAGTCACCATCTAACCCATTATCTACTTCTTGCCAACTTTCGGATTTTCTCGGCCAATAAAAACCTTTACCTCTTTATCATCATATTATCCTAATGTAGTTGCACCAAAAAGATCAAAAAATTGATTATTTGTAAACTCTATACTCATTACATATTCAGAAATAATGCATTTAACACCTTCGTTAATTTGAACCAAAAGATAAAGTATAAGAATTGTAAAAATTGATTATTGGATACACAAATATGTTTTTTAATAAATTTGCTGTTATAAATGTTATCAAGGTATGTTTGTAAGTTTGTGCTTTTAGGAAATCTTTTTTATAAAAGTATATTTTATACAAAATATTTTTTCTCTTTACATTTTCTTTATTTTTATATATAACATAAATGTTGAAATTTGATTATTTGAATGAAGACAATGGTTGATAACTGAGACAAATATGCCTTATTTTTTGTATCATACATTATTCCAATCTAATATGTCATATTTTACCAATGAATTATTATTAGAATTCTTATAAAAAATAAATGAAAAAATAGACAACGGGTGTGGCGACATAGTGCAGTTGGCAAGTTGTCACCCCCCCAAATGGCAGGTCTAGGGTTCAAATCCCACTGGCGA